TGTCCACTGGACCCTTCGGAGGTGAACCGTTTGGTGAGTTTCACCATTTGCTCGTTGTTATTAACCTGTCCTGTGATTTTTTCTCTCTCACGTCCAGACACGAACTTATGCACATGTATGTTGTCTTTACATCATAATAATATTTCACATAATCTATGGAATAAATAACATTCGATGCAAAATGAACATGTCTCGTAGTCGTATATTAAAATAAAGTTTTAAGTGATAAAATATTTGCTCTGTTGTTCTTTAGAACCACGCAGGCATTTAGTCATATTACAAAATCATTTATTGAAGCATCCAGATACTTCACCACGTGAGCAAGCAGCTAGGCACTAGATAACGCGGCACGAATTGACGCCAAAGTTCAGATTTTTCAACGCAAATTCGCATCAATTGGAGGTGGTTGAGGAGATTCCCCTCTCTATGTAAAGCGCTTTGAGTGCCGAGAAAAGCGCTATATAAATGTAATGAATTATTATTATTATTATTATTATTATTATCAAACGCCTGAATGCAAAAATAGCACTAACTAGCCAGATGCTCAATTCGCGCGAATGAGGTGTATTCGTGTTTGCCGCGCTCTACACCTCATTTGCGTCGCAGGAATTTTTTACGCACGTAACGCGCCTTTGGATTGACTTAACATTGAAATAATTCGCGCCTGACGTGCTATTCGAACGTTTTTTTGTTTTGTTTTGTTTTTCACGTTGAAGCACCGAGTACCCAGCATTTTTTACTGGTCGCCAAAAGTTGAAAAACGATGTTGAACAAAACGATGCACTGCCAAAACGCTCTCAAGCGCCCTTCAGCAGAGCGTTTCGCGTTTTCAGCTGGCTAAAAACGCTTTGGTGGACACACGGCCTAAGAGAAAGAACTGATTCACTGTGTCTTCTTCTATTGACTAATTTAAACACCCAAATATGTTACATCCAACAATAAGATCTCAAGGCTGATCCAACTCATCTTGGCAATCTAGCATGACTAGCAAACGTTAAAGACAAACCTAGAGTAAATCTAGAAAAGATAAGCTGCAACATACTAAAGCAAATGTTCTGAAGCAAACAAAACAATCTCTCAAGAATAATCAAGATTATTGATTAGGCACAGGGATTAAAGATTAAACAATCAAAGCGTGAAGAACTGGATATTAATGATATGCTTTGAATTATATGCCATGATGCAAATAAATAGCCTGTTTGCCATGAAGCGTGTTACATTCCTCATGTCCAACAAGTCATGATGACCAGCTACTAATGCGGAAGGAAGGAATTGCATTACAAGCAATTAGCTGTGAGCTACTATACACACATTACTTGAATCTGATCACATCCTTCTCCTATATTGTTAGTCAATTTTATGCTTCAAAAGCAATTCAACTATGAATATAGAGGTTATACAGAGGAATTACAGTCAAATCAGTTTGATCTTGAAGCTGTACTCTGGAGAGGAGATGGGAAATTATGTTATCATGGAGAATGTGTTGTGACTGAAGAGGACGAGCAGAACAGTCTTTAAAAATTATTTTCCATTTTCGAATCTTGACTGTGGTTATAATAACAGTGAAGGAAAATGTGATAAGGTTGATCGCTTTCCATAAAACATCCCAAAATGAGTTAAAAGACCTATGAAATATACTGCCAGGTTTGATGAGATAACGGTAATTTACATTTTAGGTGAATTATAAGGGAGGGATCTTTTGATAATATTCCGAGCTGGCCTCGGTTGTCACTATAGGGTGTTGAGCATGGCCTAGGTTTCCACAAGAAGCCCACATAAACGTGAAGTTGGATTCTTAAACACTGGTCTTCAGTTCTAGGCCAGATGTAACAGTTGATCCACGGAGAGCTGAATTCCATCTCTATGAGATGATCGAGACCATCGTTCTGGAAACCTTGGCCAGACCACTGGAAAAACAAACACAAACTCCAAGAACTATCAGCTTCTCCATTCCACTCACTTTCTAAGAATGCAAGCAATAAAAAAACAGAAAACAAGTATTACACAATATAAACCTGGACAAATATTTGGTTAGAAACCCTTCCCTAAATTTGAGAAGAATGCGAGAGTTGAGCAGAAGAAAGGTAAGTCATGAAAACAAGCAAAGCTTGAGGTGTTTATAGACCTTATTTAACACTACAGAAAACAACATCTTGTGGTCTATCACAGTCTAAACATAGCTGATCAAATATCTAAACCAACCTAAGCCTGCTCAGATGAGATATTGACCACAAACTGACTTTTTTATAGACAGGTCTGACTCAATACTTGTTCAGAAGTGGCACTGAGGAATGAGAACTACTCTTGATGGTTCCTTCACTTGATATAATGGTCCCATTATGACAAGTGGAGAAAGTAATCGTTATACACTGTAAATAAAACTGGAGCACAAGCAAATACTATTTCAGATTTTCTACTTGGATATTTCACACTTAACTCAATGTGTTGCTACTTTGTGTGAAATTTACTCACAATTTCAAGTGAAAATTGATCCACACCATTTTTTTCACCAACAACAGGAAGCTTTTGACATTCGCTAAAAAGTCTACAATGGTTAATTTACTCTGTTTGTGACTCAACAAGATGGTGATGAAGGATCACACATTGTTGTGTGTGTGTGTCTTCCTGAATGGCTATTAGTTTTTGATGTCAGGTAAGTGGGTAGGTTTGATTGGCATGCAGTTTTAGCAATGCTGCTCTTTAAGTGCTGTAGTGAGGTGCAATTAATACTGGCTAGACAAGTGATTCAACTGGCAGCAACTGTCTGAGGTATTACAATATGAACACGTAAACTGCTCTTGCTTAATTTCAGCAGATGGACTGCCCACCCTCGACTTGACGGACGGACGGCAGGAGGGGTGTCTATTATCCTGTCTTTAGCCCAGTCACCACCGCAACAATGCTTAACAAGCTTGTCTGCGAGGTTAACGCTTCACCCAATCCTGTCAAGCCGAGACGTTGTAATACATGGCAAGTGGAAAAAGAGCTAATTCCATCCCTTCCATAGAGGAAGAGAGAGAGAGAGAGAGAGAGAGAGAGAGAGAGAGAGAGAGAGAGAGAGAGAGAGAGAGAGAGATGAGCAAGGGGGAAAATTAGAACCACACTGTGATAGGGGGGACACCATGGCCTAGTCTTGTCAAACAGCATTAAGACTCATGGAAAAGGAAATGCTGAGGGCTGACAGGAAGTAGCATTACCATTACATTAGCACCATAAACTGCCACACAAAGACAACATTAGGGCACATTTCTTTGCGAAAAAATAAAGAAGAGAGATAGAAATAAGAGGGTTGAATAACTTGTGATAGTTTCTAATATTCAAATGTGCCCAGGACAAAATATTTTGATGCCAAGGATCCCCAAAAAGGGGGACCATGTGCTATGACCATGTGCCTCCATGTGCTTCTCTTTGGGAGGTCGATGGGCGCAACATGCAAGGCCCACAGAACGTTCTCATGTTTCAAACTCGGTCTGGATATCAAGCTGCAAGTGCTTGTGATACTGACGATGTATCAGAAAAAAAATTATACCAAATGTAATTCGATACAAATGTAAATATCGGGCCGATATTTGTGTTTATCACGTGTATCGGGATCGGCCCACTTTATTATTTATAGACTGGCGTCCACAGGCAGCTCTGTGCTGCTGGAGACGCTGCAGTTCATGTGCAGATCATGCATTGCCCCTCCCCCACTAGCAGAGTGCAACCTGCTCTTCAAGATAATGGTAACTTTTAAACTTTCAAAGCATATTTTAACTGTTTGACAGCTGTAATACTGCCATACGCTTTGAAATGGATACGCTTTGCTCTAAAACTGTTATGTGCTTGCAACTATATAGCTAAGCAAGTTTGTAGGTCCAAATGGAAAATGCAAATGCCTCGTCTATAAAACTGCTTGCCATTGTATTTAGGTAGCTGCAAATAGCTAAGGTGTATCCATTTAGAATGCATTAGGGCTGTCAATGAGCATTCTAAATTCGAATATATATTCAAATAGTTTTCAAAAACTGAATTTCGAAGGTGAAAATTAATATTCGAATGTGGAAAAACATGCCCGCGGTAGCAGACTAACGTTACCACAGCACAGAGCACTCAAGGTCGGTTCTATATACTGTGAAACTTCAATGAATGTATTTGTTTCAATCACTGAATGAAGCCTGCTATAATTGGGACAAGGATCGGAACCTTAAATTGCTTGCACAAAACTCTTGATCAGCGCTCAACATTTTTCTGAGTTAATTGTATTGAGTTAATACAAATGATTGTAGTAAGTTAATACAATGAAGGAGATTAATTTAATCACCAGAAACTTATATATATATATATATATATATATATATATATATATATATATAATATATTATAATATTAAGTTGATTTGACAAAAGAAAAAATGTTGTGATTACAAATCATGAAAATATACATGAATTTACAGTGAATGTTAATGAAACATTTCTTGACTGAATAACCTTAGTGAGTAGTTGTATTTTATTTTATTTATATTGTGCAGTGTTATTTTACATTTGATTACAGTTTATACCTGAATACACACTGTAAAAAAAATATTTTCATGATTAGTAATCACAACATTTATCCTTTTGTCAAATCAACTTTAATAATTTATTTAGTTCAGATAACATAATATTTTGAGTTTCTGACGATTAATCTCCTTCATTGTATTAACTCAATTTTTCCATTTCAATGAACTTAAAGTTAAGGCAACCAGGTTACTTTTTTAAGTTAAACCAACGATATTTTTTTTCAGTGCATGAAAATCTTAAAACACTGTTTATTTCAATCATATCATATTGAAATTAGGAATGGAGCGGAATTGATAAAATTCAAACGATCCCCAACCCTACTAGTCACTCAGACATACTTCAGCCTTCAGGACTGTGTGTAAATAAGAGGACATACTGATCGGGACAACATCGGCCCAGTGTCCTCTTCGGCAGTGTCACACTGTGTACATTTCTCACACAAACAACTGAACACAGCTCCCAGCGGCAAGGCCAGATAATGTGTGTTTGTGTCTGGCCAGATGGGCCTCTCAGCATGCCACTGCTGTCACACACACAACACTTCACATTCACACATACTGACTCATAAACACATGTCTTGCACACACACAACCTTCCAGGCAGATGACAACCTCGTCTGAGCATGGGCCTGTGATTAGTGCATGAACGCAGACACCCACATGAGCTCTCTATGGTAGGACTAAGCAACACAATATGTCAAACTGCCATTGTAACCAAATATACTGTAAATGCATAAAGTAAATATTAAAAAGTATATGTTTTTTAAAAATGCTGTATTAACAAAACAAAAAAAAAAATCCCAAAATTAACACAAGGCACAATATATATTATTTATGTCAATTTGTCACAGTAGTCAATAACAGCACAACACAGGAGACAACTTTCATTATCAAATCAAGAGACCGCTCATTTAAAACACAACACTCTGATGTGAACCGTACATAGTTGTGACAGCTCTCATAATGAATTTTTCTAAACATTCCTGCAGCATCTAATTACCACTGGGTTGAGAGAAGCATGTTCATATATCTCTGTCATACATGCCTATAAGAGCTTGATAAAGAGGTGGATGTTTTCTTTTCCCTGGCTGCAGGGTTGTATCAGGACAAGGCAATGCATCATGCGTCTGAGTCTGCTGCTGGGTTTATGTTTATATATGGCTGCTGTTTGTGGATCTGGGATTTACTGCAAACAGAGGAGAGTGCCTAGATAGCCCTGTCTGTGTGGCTATGGTGTCCCCTCCTGAACATGTCCCTGCCTATCTGCACATACACACCTCATCATAAATGTATGAATGAACGAAACAAATTCATTTTATTTTTTTTAAATATAAATATATCTACACTATAAAATGTACTTTATTCATGTGAAGGCAAAGAAGAATTTTCATTTTCACCAGTCATTACTCCAGTCTTCACTGTCACATGTGAAGACTGGAGATCTATCGATCGATCGATCGATCGATCGATCGATCGATCGATCGATAGATAGATAGATAGATAGATAGATAGATAGATCTATCTATCTATCTATCTAGATAGATAGATAGATAGATAGATAGATAGATAGATAGATAGATAGATAGATAGATAGACAGACAGACAGACAGACAGACAAGCGGTTTGGAAAATGGATGGATGGATAATCATGTTCCCTGGCCGTATGTGATATGAGTGCTCCTCTGGATTCTATCAGCCTTCCCCAGGGTGTCCCGCCAGATTCCCCGTTTTTCTAAATCAGTGCTCTTCACACAGGCACTGTAGTGGACAGCTGTTCAGGGCTCAGGAGAGGGCAGTCAAGGGTTCTGAAGCCAAGACTGTGAACAATATTTTGTGTGACAGCAATATAAAGGTGAGTCAGAGCTGTCAGCTGAGTCAACTCACCAGGAAACATTGAGACCCATCTGCTGGAACTTCAAACCTACGTACACACAGACACACACACACAACGTTCTCATTCACACAAAATACACACACAAGCAAAAAAATAAAATATGGGCACCTCTGACCTAGAAAAAACCCAGTAAGAAGTAGAAATCAAAATACAGTACCCACAGTTCTACAGTACATACATATATTTTGGCTAATTAAATATATTGATGTATTTAAGTGTAAAAATTACACAATAAGGACACAATAAACTGATCAAATATTACAGTATATATATATATATATATATATATATATATATTACAAAAGATTTTCCATTTCAAATAAATACTGTTCTTTTGAACATTGTAGGCTGGGGGTGCTTTAAAATTATATTTAAACAGAAAACTTATTTTAAATTGTAATAATTTAGCATTACTGTTTTTTACATATGTTTGATCAAATAAATGCATCCTCAGTGACCATAAGAGTCAAAAACATGAAAAAATCTCAACCTCAAACTTTTGACCGGTAGTGTACATACGGTACATATATAAACCGATTATGAAACACATGGTTAAACAGAACACAAATTCATCCAAGTTGTTTTTGCTAGAAACAAGTTGTTTATATCCAGGAAACATGTGCATGTTTGATACATGCCGTAGAGGTCAAACTCACATCTGTGCAGCACAATATATGCAGCTGGGCAGGAAAGTTGGGTGAGGGAGAAAGGGGATGAAACAGTGAAGAAAAGGAATTTAATTCCTCACCATCCAGCGTAACTCAAGTTTATGGCCATTGCCTTGGTGTTTGATAAAAGCTTAAAGTGTCCGAGCCATCCCTTCCCTCAGTCTGCTCCATGAGAGATGGATTTGTCTGCTCTTAATTCAGGCATGGACAGAATACACATGATGAACAACAGAGCTGCTCTCTCTCTCTCGCTCTCTCTCTCTCCATAACAAGGACAAATGTACCAGTACCCTTCCTGTCTACAGCTTCTAGTATCTATGGAGAAAGGAGTATGTATGTCTAACAGTAGAGATGCACCTTTATGAAATTTTTGACCGATACCGATAACCGATAATTCTTGAAAGCCGATGACCGATATTTAAGCCAATAAATCTAAATTCGAAATTTTTAGATAATGTTTGAAAGCCTGATTACAAAAACAAAAGTCTCATCATGTCCAAGTCACACCATTATAAAGATGTTCTCATTAGCTTATGAGACAGACTTGCAGAGTGCATGTTGCACTTAACTGAATTTTCTTTCTCAAAGTGATTCTAATCATTTCAAGCAATTCAAAAACATCACGGCGAACAGTGTGTATCTGAAGTGTCTCGGTTAAAGGAAATAATACATTAATTATCGGCTTTAATAAATTGGCCGATACCGATATGGTAGCCGATATTGTGCATCCCAAGTTTAAAGATATTTTTCACCAACCCCAAAAAAAGAAATGATGTCATCATTTACTGATCCTCAAGTGGTTCCAAACCCACATGACTGAGCATTTTGAAGAATGTACTAGGCACACCCAATAACACTGAATGGGAAAGCTTCAAAAAGGATTCATATGCATCATAAAGGTATAAACTTCAAAGCTCTTCTTAGTGCATGTATGAGTGAATGAATCATTCTTTTGAGACATAACTTTTTAAATAAATCAGTTAGATGAATCGGTTCAATATAGTGATTCACAGCTCAAAAGAGAGGGGTATTGTCAGCAAATAACTCACACAAATGTACTGGCTTAAAATAAAAGTCTATGGACCGCTTGTGCTTATTTGTGCTTAACATCCCCTAAATCACACATAATTATACTGAAAAGAGTTGCCAGGACATCCTTAAAAACAAATTATATAATGTTCCATGTGAAAAAAAATGGAATATTTTTGGGGTGAACTGTGCCTTAAAGCGTACATGAGAGTGTGTGTGTGTGTTCAGTGTAGTGTGTGGCCATCTGATTGCTTGCTCTGTAGTGGCAATTCCTCTGTGTAAACATGCCATAAATACTCATTAGTGAAAACAAGAGGATGTCACAAACACACACAAACACAAAGAGCAAGAGAGCAGCACCTCGCAGCAACAATAACAAGAGTGACTAATTTAATTAGCACCATAAAACAAGTCCAAAAAAGCCAGAGCCCATCCGCTTCTCGTTCATCCTTAATGACAGAGTTAATCAGCAGTGTCTTTACACATCTAATCTTAGAGGACACAATCTCTATTATTCTCTCTCTCTCTCTCTCTCTCTGCTTTAGCACTTTTGTAAATCAGTCCACACTTTTTTCATTGTGTAATGTCTGAAAGATCCAACAACCAGCCTGCCTGTAAAACCTAGTATCTTATTAATTACCTCCTTCGATTAGATCGGTAATAAGTCTCACGCCGTGACAGAGACGGCTAATGATCATCGACAATTACTTGATTCAAACGAGCTCTGCCTTAATGGAGTCAGATTGGCGCACCTCTTCTGTTGTTCCGTCATTCTCAGTGAAGAAGACACAGCTTTGAGAAATTAACATGACTGTAGGTTTGCATTATCTCAGTACACAATCTAATCATGATTTCATTTAAAAACACTCTGAAACAAAGCAGTGCCTTGAGGTAAACTATAATTAGGTGCAAAGGGAACAGACAGTAGCCCATCCAGAACAGCGTTATTATCTTTGACTAAAACAAAAACAATTAAACCTGTTTTTGATTATAGAAATAAAGCTGAAAAAATATATATATAAATATTAGATGAAATTAAATAGAAATAAAATAAAATGAAGGGAAAAAAATATAGAAATGTTAACACATTTAGATATATAAAACAGACAGATAGATAGATAGATAGATAGATAGATAGATAGATAGATAGATAGATAGATAGATAGATAGATAGATAGATAGATAGATAGATAGATAGATAGATAGATAGATAGATAGATAGTTTTTTTTAATCATGATAAAACGTATTGACTACTATTTCTAATTTCGCAGCTGCGTCTGACACCTATTTTACTCCAACCAAATGCTGAAGCTCGAAATCAATAGAATCTACCAACAAAATCTGCCAAATACATCAAGGCTCCCAGTTCCTGTTTGAACAGACCCCAATCGTGATTTTTGGACACATGTAGTTAAACATAAGCTAAAGTTAAACTCACAGGTCGGTGTTTCTTCTGCAGGTGTTTCTTCTTCTTGCCATGTGTATGGGCCAGGCGAGGGTTGTTCTCCTGGTCTGAGTGGTGGTGCTGGTGGTTGTTGAGTCGGTCTTTGTGTAGGTCTATGTTCAGTCCGTTCGGCACTCGGCCGGGCTTCTTCTTGCGCAGCGGTCCTGCCTGGTTCTGCCTCCGCTCGTGGGGCTTCAGGGTCATGTCCTTCTAACAGAAAAAAAAAAATGACATCAGTATAAAACATTTTTTGGGTTAAAGGTTTCCTTTCATAATAAATTCCTAAGAATTTGAAGTAAAAATTTTAAGAAAAATATCTGTTTATTCAGCAAGGACACATTCAAGCATCATCAAAAGTGACAGTGAAGTTATTTATACTGTTACAAAAGATTTCTATTTTCAAATAAATGCTGTTTTTTTCCATTTCTAGTTATCTAAGAATTCTGAAAAAAAAAGTGTTTTCCAAACAAATTAAGCAGCTCAACTGTTTTCTGAAATGTTTCTTGAGCAGCAAATTAGCATATTAGAATGTTTTCTGAAGGATCATGTGACATTTAAGAAGTAAAGCTTGATGAAAACTCAAATAGAAAACCATTATTTTCAATCGAAATAATATTTCACAACACTACTGTATTTGTGATCAAAGAAATGCCTTGGTGAGCATTATGGAAATGAGTGTGATGTAAAATGAAATGCACATGCTGTTTCAAGTCTTTAAGGATCATACATAAACAGTATGAAGTCTATTCCTGCAATAGACCGGATATGCTGTTTGTGCTAAAAGACATTACACAACATAAGCATTGCACTCTCCAGTAGGCGTACGCTTGTCTACCTCCAGCAAACATTGTTCTGCCAAGCTGCTAAATAAAATAATCTTTACCCCACAGAAAAACAAGTGTTCTGATAAAAGGAGTCTGAAGAACAGCAGAGGAAACAGAGGCGCAGCGCTCCGGTCTGACAGAACTTTCTCATCCACTGAGAACTCTAGACAGGAAGATCAATATTCAATATGACAAAGCTCGTCTCTGCAGGGGAGCTGTGTATCGCCACATATCTCTGCTTACAGAACGAATCAATTACATTATTATACTCCAGCTACAGAGAGATAGATACTTCTCGTGCTGAAAACTGTACACTATAGGAAGGAAAATGAGACGTTCAATACAGTTCAGAGTAGAAACGGCACAGTGCCTTGGCAACTTGTAGCGTTGTCAGTGTGAACAGGGCTTAGCCTATATTTATTATAGAGCCCGACCGATAAAGGATTTTGAAGGCCGATAACGATTGTTGGATATCACACACGTGTAAAAGAAAAGCGAACTTTTCTGCACAAGATACGTTTGATACTTTTTCTCTACGTCTAACTGTTCACTCCTCGCAAGTTTAACTTACACTTTACAATGCATGGACTGTAACTAGAGATATGCTAGTTATAAATACGGTAATCATTACTTTATTTAGGCAGAAAAAGTTCATTGTGGTTTCCAAGCTCATTAATGTTAACATTAGCGGTCTTCCACTGAAGATAGTGGCATTAGCCTGCTTTGTGGTTAGCTAGTCTATGATAAGCCATAATTTAGCAATAGATAACATCATACTGCAAATTGTAAAACATATATTTTCAATATAACAGGCCAAGGAGAGATGATTGAAGCATGTTTCGTCTATTTTTATTTCATTTTTTAAATATTATTTATCGGCCATTTTAACTGCCGATACCGATATTATGTAACATGCCTAATATCGGCCGGCCGATATATCGGTCTGGCTTATAACATCGATTGCAAGATGAAAACAAAAGAATATATATGTATAAATATCATATTCAAATTATTTCTGAAAAATCATATGACACGGAAGACTGGAGAAATGTTGCTGAAAATTCCAACGCTATCTCACGACCAATTCGTACGAATTTGTACAAGTGATTAAAAAGTGGCTAATTCGTACTAATTCATACGACCTCACTCGTACAATATTTGTCTAAACCCACGTGATGGGTAGGTTTAGGGGCAGGGTCTAGGGTAGGTCATTCGCACGAATTCATACGAATTGGTAAAACATGTACGATTTAACAAAAAGTGAGGTCGTACGAATTGTTACGAATTAGCCACCTCGTAAAATTCGTACGAATTGCCGTGAGATCGGGTTGGAAAATTCAGCTTTGCCATCACAGGAATTTTGTGATGTATTCAAATAGAAAACTTTTTAAAAAATATAGCCTAATATTTCACAAAATTTCTATTTTAACATATTTTTGATTAAATAAATGCAGCCTTGGTAAGCACAAATGACTTTTAAAAAATAGATTCCCAAACTTTTGAACAATGGTGTATAATGTGACATTTTCTTACTGATGAGTGATGAACCAAAAGGAATCAATGAATCTGCGCTTTGAATCAATTCACGGAAGCTGAGAGTTTGTATGATTCACAAAACAAATCTATTCCAATGTAATTTCTACAATTATATTATATGATAAGAAGGGATTGCAAAACTATTCAAATCACACATTCTTTAGGAATCGCAATGACAAAATAAAAAGTGCATTACAATCTTTGTCCAAAAAAAATACAAGAGGAAGCAGACCAATTACAAAACGATGGGCAGCAGAGTGTTTAATGTAAAAATAATGATCTTATGTCTCTCCACATGTTCAACGCTTCATATCTTACTTCAGAGGTGTTGAACACTGTCCTTTTTGTCTCACTTTCAAGAGCTTTGCTAATATCCTTAAATGATAGCTCCTTTAATGCTCTTCATTTCAAGATCTCTCTCTCTCTCTCTCTCTGTTTGTTTGTGTGTGTAAAATGTTAGTGTGTGATTAAAATGAGTAATGGCTCTAACAAATGTGTCTTCTCTTAAAAAGCCTCCAGATTTATCAGCAAATGTCTGTGTAGAACAGTCCAGTAAACTGTAACATAAGCGAACACTGCTTATGCACAAAATTGTGTGTTTATTTTGCATCACTCCAAGCCCTTAGAAGATTAAATCCACCATTTCTCAAACGTAAAGAAATGTGTTTATGTATCTGATGCAAACCGTACCATGCAAGACGCAAACCTTCTAATGTGGGTGTGTGTGTGTGTGAGCAGATACACCATCAGCCCTCATCCGCCTGCAGGGCTGATCCATCATGTTAAACTTATGTACTAAATCAGATTACATGCTTCAGAGACATTACATTTTTAATAGCCTTGTTCATGTACTTGAAGTCAGAGACATCAAAAGAGCTCTCGGCTGAGCAGACGGAGCATGTCAGGACTGCAAGATACAACAGGCTGATAACTAGCCATCAACTCTTCAGCTCTGAGAGAGCACTCTGGGTATTTGTGCTGAGGGACAGCCTCTATTCATTCAATATCTCTCTATTCAGCCATCCGAATCATTTAGACTCAAAAAAAAATAAAAAATCAAGCTGAGGTTGATTCATTTCAGCTGCTTGAGTTGAGAGGAGAAGCTCTTCTTAAAAAACATCTGGACAAGACTAAGGGTATGTTCAGTATGTTAATGGGAAAACTCTCGCCCTATCAGTCAATTTCAAGTTGGCATGAAACAGAAGTTGCGGATGGCTTCAAAAACAAGAAAAACTGTAGGGCGGGACTTTATTTGGTCCAACAAGAATTGAATGGATTGTTAGGGGAAATTACTTTGATTAAAGATTAAGAGGGAACATGAATTTTTAAAAAAAGTATGTGCATGCGGATAAATCATTTATAATAAACACTGCTATTAATTTTTTTTTAAGTTTTTTTTATTTCATGGTGACTTTAATGGGGTCATGTGACCGTATTACCACCTCGGGTGTGCATTATTTTTCGAATAATTCAACGGCCTGTCGTCAATTATTCCTAACTTATCTTGATTGCTAATCCACAACAGATGACAACTATTAGGTTAAAAGTTCAGAATACAATTCCATACAAGGTTATATTTCAGCACTTCACAAATGGACAGCGACTCTTAAGTAGCACGTAGAATGCGTTCTCACGCGTTCATGCTAAGTGCATTTTTAGGAAACGCGCGTGGAATTGCGGCGAAACGTAGAGCTCTTAAGAGCTAAGATACCTCGTTATCGGGAAACCCGGCCCAGGTCAGTACAGAACAACAATGATCACTATACTTGACATCACACATCCTGTCATGTGACTATCCCGGATACACGCATTTCATTGATGTTACGATATTGATGCTAAAACAATATATCGCACAGCCCTATTTGAAACGATTATATTTTATATTTAAAAATTTGTATGCAGTAGACAGTATATTCTGAACATACTTTCTTTCTGAACATATTCTGAGGTGTGTATGGCAGCTGGCAGTGTTGTAGTACTCGGGACTCGGACTCGGTCTCGAGACCATATTTTAATGGTCTTGGTCTTGTCATGGACTCGTGTCCATTTGGACTCGGAATTGACTCGTACTCTAACATTTTTTTTTTTTAGGACTCGGAATTATTCCCGAGTCCACTCAAGTTCAATTAAAAATATTTTTCATGATTATTAATGTATGTTAATAAAATATTTCTTTAAATTGATTGACACACCCAGTGATTGGTGATTTTCTAGTGCGCAACTGCGCATGACAAATTGTAATAAAATTACTTTTAACACCACCTACTATGTGGCCTTTTTACCCTAAACTGATCATATTTTTTAAACTCTAAGTAAATTCAGTAAAAAAAAAGGATTTCTCTAAGTAAATAAAAGTAAATTAGGTAATCAACCCTCACTGGTCTCGGTCTCGACTCGGACTCGACCGTCTCTGGTCACGGACTCGACTCGGACTCGACTCTCTATGGACTCGGTCTTGACTCGGACTCGACTCTCTCTGGTCTCGGTGTCGACTCGGACTCGAGTGAGGTGGTCTCGACTACAACACTGGCAGCTGGCATGTGGAATTTTTTTTACCAATGAGTGTCAGAGAAGGCAGTACATTAAACATTTTTAAAGTTAGTGTGAAAATATGGTTGAAGGACAATCAGGTTTGTAGTCATTGAGCTATGAGACATTGAATGTGGTCAGTATGTTTTTTACTGTGTTTATGGTAGAATTATTGTAATAACAGTTTGTTTATTTTTGATGTTAGTTATTATGGTTTTATTGTAATATTTTGCACGCTCTTGGCACCTGCCCAGGGACTGCAGATGGGAATAAGCTTTTAGCTAAATCTGGTACAGTACATATTGTACAATGTCCCTGTTA